TCACAAGCTTGCAGAGAAAGGCTTACCAAAAAAAGCACTTAATAGCACTTAAAACACGGAAAAAGTCAACTTTGCAATAATAAAGGTTTTCATAAAAACAATAAGGTTTATAAAATGCTATACCTCCCATTTCAGCTTTGAATCCTTTTATATTGATTATCTATTAGGGATGCACGATATTATCGGACTGATATCGGAATCGGCTGATAATGGCTTTAAATTTAAATATCGGCATCGGCCCGATATGAAAAATTATGCCGATATGTCTTGCTGATAAGAGGAATACATTAACTCACATATGCTCAGGGTGGGCTAGCGATTAGATCACGTCAGCATTATGGCTCATTCTTGACGCAAAGCTTTGCCTGAATGGTGATTGGATTCACTATTTTGATTGCTGCTGAGAATGCACGTACAGAATGACGCGTTCGGTGTATGATAGAGTAAACAGTCGGATGGTGTCGCGTGGGGACGTAATGACGTATGCCATAATCGAACTATGTACTATAACATAGATACTAAACAAGGTAAGATTACATATAGTGAAAAGGTGGTTTATCGTAAGCATGAATAAAAATAGTCTATAATACAACAGATTAAATACAACACAGCAATAATATACACACTGGCCTGAAGAAAATGGGTGTTCATTCAAAGAAGGTTTTCCTATGAATTAATTAGTAGAAAAGTCCATTTCTCCTGTGCATTCGTGTCCCTTTGTTTCTGGAGAAAGCAGAATGAGAGCCGGCTCGCATTCCACAAGGTTGTAAATGTATCGGGTTACCATGAAACCAGGGTCTTGTTCGGCGTCCTGGGGTGTTACAAAGTATTTGTGAAATCTAGCTAACAAAATATATATTGTGTGTTGGAGTGTTCCAGACGCTACACCTTTAATCTGTGAAAGCACGTACAGAATGACGCGTTCGGTGTGTGAACAGTAATAGCACTAGAGCTGGACGATATGGCAAAAATTTATATCATGATATATTTCTTAATTTCAGTTGATACAATATAATTCCGATATCGATAGGAACACTATTAAAAAATATATATATTATAAATATCGGAGATGTTTAAAAACCATATAACCATTATTGAAAAAAAAAATATATCTCAATACATATTGATATTGATATACTGTCCAGCCCTAAATAGCACGTGCAGCGGCAGCCTCCCCCAGGTCCTAACGCCCATTCGGTAAGGAGTTTTAATCTGATGGGGGGTGTTGGCCAAAATGAGTCGAAAGATATCGGCATATCGGAAAAATTCCAATATCGTGCATCCTTATTATATATAATTACATTAATATTCAATAAAAATACTTGATATCTTAATTGTTTAGATTTTTAAACAATTAGCACATTAGCTTCTTGACAATCCATTGGTTCGCATTTCCAATTCTGTGTTTATAGGGCCCTTTAATGGTTCCCTGTTCACTTCTAATCAAACATAACAAATCAGTGATTCAATGAGTGAGTCAGGTGTGCATTGTTCTGAGGACCGATTCACTGAGTAGTTGACCGTGAGCATACTTAAACCAACAGCAAATGCTGTTCCAGGCCCAGGACAGAGCGTGCGTCTGAAAGCCGTACCTGCGGTAGAGCGGCTCCACGATCAGGTGCAGCAGCTGGCACAGTGCGATGGCGATGGCCTTGTGGGAGGTGGCGTAGAAAGCTGGCATCTGATCCATGATGCTCTGAGCATGCTGCCAGTCACCGATCCTCAGCAGCGCCTCCAGCAGCCCCAGCTTCTGGTTATCAGGAGGCTGACATGAGAGGAGAGACAGATTAGAGGAGCGGAGGACACACCTCCACATACGGCATCATTACACGCTCCTCTGTTCATTATCTCTTCTGCTGAGGAGTCTGAGGGGATTCTTATCTTCAGAGACAGATGACACGCACACCATCTGTGTTGTTTCATACAGCTTACAAGTCACACTAATGCAAAGCCACAACAACAGCTCTAAAATACGGATTCTCATATATTCAGTCAGAGGTGGAAAAAGAAGTTTCAACTAGGCTGCAACTCACAACTTTTTTGATTCATTTGTTTCATTCCTTGTCATGCGCAATTCTCTCATTGAACCACAATGCACCGTAAAAGCACTCTGTCAAAGCATCAGACCACATGAAACTATATGCACAATGCATTCTTTGCCTTTAATATAAACCTGTTTTGAAACTTGTCTTCTTTATTTAATCTCTGCAAAAGTGATGTCCCTGACACAAGCTTTCCATGCAAATTGTTCAGCAAATTTAACATGCTTTAAATGACAAACAGTTTTGGTCGAAACTGTTTTATTTAGTTACATTAAGTAAGACAAGGGGACAACCCTCTGATTCATTAGGAATAAATATATACGTATGGTCATTTTTAATTCAATTTGTCCTTATTCAAGCGTTTTGAAAAGTCTCATGTTCAAGAAGGCTGCATTTAAGCGTATAAAGTACATACTTTTAAATGATGAACTGAAGTGAGAATTATAATTAAACATTATTAATGTCTACTGCTGCTATTTCTCAGGATTTTAAAGCCCTGTGTGCATTCTGTATGCATATTCTTCAAGTATACGCTGCTGGTTTCATTTAAATCATCAACTTAGTAAACAGCATGGCTAAACCGCAGCTTATCTCTGCATATGGAAGTGCATTTTGTGAATCCGAGGCTGTCAGACGCAGTGCATGCTGAGTGTCTGTACATGCTCTGCTGTAATCAAGCGTCTGATCAGCCCAGCAAAAGCCATTTATGTACCACTGACATTTACATGCATTTATACTATTACATCATAAAACTATTCTAAACTCTTCTGCAAGTGTTAGTTTTGTAAACTGAGAAAATTAATAAAATACCAGATGAAAACTCTAATGAGAAATGTTGTCGTAGCAACTAACTGAAACATGCTTGTGTTTTAAGTGTAGGAATCCTGGTTGAGAGATGATGAAACCTCCTAGTACTGATGTCACTTGAATGTACATTATTTTTGATGAGGGTAACAGGGCTGATGTGAAATCAGTGGACACCAATAAAATGATTTATATTTTATAGAAAAAATGCATACTTGTGCCAAAAACATTGCTTAAAGGGGTCATATGATGCGATTTCAAGTTTTCCTTTCTCTTTGGAGTGTTACAAGCTGTTCGTGAAAAGATAAGATCCCTGAAGTTGCAAAGACTAAAGTCTCAAACCCAGAGATATTCTTTATAAAAGTTAAGGCTCGTCCACACCTACCTACATCACTATGTGGGAAGATTTGCATAACGCCCCCCAAATGTTCACACAAAGAAAGAAGGCGTAACTTTATTGTTGCTGCCACCGCCGCCACCATGTCGTGAAGACGCAGTGTGTTTCGTTGCGAAAGCGAAAATACTTTGTTTGGTCTTCCAAAAGAGGACACGACTAGAAATCAGTGGTTAAGTTGTATTTACAACACTGTTTCCGTCACACGCTTGAGGTATTCGGCCAATCACAACGCACTGGATAGCTGGCCAATCACAGCACACCTCGCTTTTCAGACCGATGAGCTTTGTAAAAATCAACGCGTTTCAGAAAGGCGGGGCATAGAGGAGAAACAATAATGTACAGTATGTGGAAAATAATGTGTTTTAAACCACATAAACACATTTCATTACGCCAAATACACAAAATAATGTTCTTTTTAGCAGCATCATATGACCCCTTTAACAATGAGACTATATTTAGAACAATATGCAAATGTGATTTTTATATCATTTTGCAAATTAAAAGTCCTGCTGAAAAAGAAAAATCATAGTGAGGGACAGGCCAAAAACCTTACCCTTATCAGCATAAATGCTATTTAAATTATTTAAAACAATATTGAATTAACTTTTTTTGATGTGATATTGATGAAAACACACTGTTATGTTTTAAAATTGCACATTTATTTGTCGTTACATTAAATCTATGTTTGATTATTTCTCAAAAGGCACCAGTTTCGTGGAATGACCCAAGCATTCAGAACTTTCAGGAAAACAATTATGCCATTTTGAACAGATTTCTTCTGTATAGAGACTAATTTAAAGGTTCTCATCAACCACTGTAATAATGCCCTCAATAGAAATGTCTGCCGATCAAACAGAATTCGATCATCCTAACAGAAACCTTCTCTGCACTCACACAAATGCAGCAGCTGCCAAATCACTACTCAGCACTACTAGCACTGCAAAAAGTTCGGTATCGTCACATTTTTACACTACTCCACCAGACACGACTCTTCCACTTACATGAACGTAGAGGTCTTCAAGAGCGATGAGGTTGTGTTGAAGAAGAGCTGCAGCGATGTGGTACAGAGATGATGGCGTTTCTCCATTAGGCTCCTGTGGAAACCAAAAAAAACACCAGATGAACATGATTACAGACAGCGATCTTGTCCAAGAGAAGGGCGAACAAACCCAGCTGCGCAATATAACGTTCACTATGTGCAAAAGATTACTTTTCTATTCCTTTTGAGTATTTGACCGCAGCAGATTCCTACTACTTTTGTTCATCTGGAAAAAATAAAAGTTATGACAGAAAATCATACTTGACAGCAGTCATCTTGTATGAGTCAGTGAATATTACTGCACAATAACATGAACTAAAACTAAAGGCAGAGTTATCAGAACAGTTGCCATGCCAACAGATATACTCTGCACTGCCATGTCAAATGTTCAGAAACAATGACTGGAAATATTTCTGAAATTTTAAAACCGAACATGCCTAACCTGAAAGCAATTTTTGACTCAACATTTATACATGAGGGTCAGAAATGAACTTTCAATAAGAGGCCATATTTGTCCCCGTGGAGTTGATTTCTGATTTTTTTGTTTTGTTTGTTTGATAATGACGGTATTAAATGTACCAGAGTTGTCTTCTTATAAAATACTTAAAATTAATCAATTACTTCAATCAGAATACTATAGACTGATACCAATAAAATGTAAGCCATCTTTACACTGCAAAGGTGGAACAGAAGCTGGCATGGCATGTTTATTTACTCAATGTACACAACAACATTCATACATAATATAAATGTATCATTTATTTAAAATTATTATTTTAAAAAACACTAAGTCTTTAAACCATTTAAAAACCATTACTGTCATCATTGTTCACAACCATTTATGAATTAGTTTATTGGTTTTTAAGCATGAGAAAATTAAGACTTCACATTGGTTACTTTAACGAAAGTATGAAAGCATGAAAAACAGAAACGTGTGCGAATGGTTGTAATGCTCAATTCTAGAGATGTAACGATTCACTCAACACATGATGCGATACGATTCACGATACCGATTTCGCGATACGATTTTCTCACTATGTTTTTCAACAAAATGAGATTTAAGACAAATTATAAATGAAAGGGTGTCCTTTTATTATTTCTCAGACATTATTTCTCATTTCTTTGCGAAATTGAAATGTCAAATAACAAAACTAAATTGAAATTTTAAAACAAACCCCAAATCAAACGAATAACACAAATAAAAAAATTTAAAATAAAGCCCTGTCTGTGCTCTTTCCATTTAAATTTAGAGGCAAATCCAAACAAAGATGCTGCACACATGTAGCATAAGCAGTTTTAATCTAAATTAGATTGCATCATTTTGAAATTTGAAGCAAAAACAGAATGGTCTGACTTTAGTTTTGTGACTACAGTATACAGTAAAGTACAGTATACTACATAAAACACCTGCATGAAACAAGAACAGCAGATGAGCTGAATGAGATGCAGATTCACTCTCAGACAGCAGGTGGCGCTTTTGGAACAGCAGCAATATAGTGTTTCCTTGGTTAACGCTGTAAACAAAGCAGCCCTGCCATTATGAACACTATTTAAATATCCATTACACAAAAGAAAAGACGAAAAGAAAATACCATCTAAACTTCTCTAAAGACAGTCAGTTCCCCTCAGAGACGCATTCGTATAAACTCCCATCGTGATTCATTTGACATCTCAACCGATTTGAATCGTCTCACATTTGTATTGATTTTTAACCGTCGTTACATCCCTACTCAATACTACAAAATGTGTAAAAAATATTTCACATTTCAGTTTATAAGCGACAGCTGTAATAGATTCAGTTTCATTTTGGACAGACATTTTCCTAATTTTGGTGGCATTTTTGCCCCAAGTCCCCGTTACACACATAACACACACTGTCTAGGTTTGAAGCAAAAGCATTCTGTCACATGTCTGTGTATTAGTGTTGTCACGATACTACTACTGAACCAATACTATGACAAAACTAGGGATGCACGATATTGGATTTTTGCCTATATCCGATATGCCGATAATTTTCAACTCAATTTGGCAGATAGCCGATGCCGATATACAATTATTTTTAATTTTGGTTAGTTTTTAACAAGAACTTATTTGCTAGAATTAAATAAACAATAATAAAGTTATTTTATAATGACCGTACATTGAAGATTTAAAAATTAATATAAATAAACTAATCACTGCATTTTATTTTCTGAAAGATGCAGTGGTAACCTTAACATTTTATTTTAAGATTTAACATTTGTAAATGGTCTAAAGCAAAAGAGTTCTAAAAATTCTGAAAATATTTTAGAGCTCATAATTTGTTTAAAAAATATAGCATATTGCACATTAATGAATAAATCCATATATATATAATTTAATTTAAGTGTCTTGTTTGTGATTTTTTGGTTTTGTTCATGCAAGCTATAGCTTCTGACCTTTAAATCAAAACATACTCATGATTTTATGGCATCAATTACTGCTTTATTTAATCAGAAATGCAGTCTAAATGTTATTTGTGTATTTTGCTTTCATTTTATTAGAAGTAGGCCAACAGCACCCCCTTCAGAATTAAAACTCCTTACTGCACGTGCTATTACTGTTCACTCGATCACACACCAAATGCATCATTCTGTACCTGCATTTTCAGATTAAATGCAGCGATCTAAAACAGTGAATATAATCATAATTCAGGCAAAACTTTGCTTCAAGAATGAGCCACACTGCTGTCGGGATCTAATCACTAGCACAACCTGAGCACATGCGAGTTAACCTATTCCTCTATTCGGCAAGACATATCGGCATTATTTTTCATATCGGGCCGATGCTGATATTTACATTTAAAGCCATTATCGACCAATTCCGATATTGGTCCGATAATATCGTGCATCCCTAGACAAAACCATTGAACAACAGGAAAAGTAACTTAAGAATAGATGATCCAAATGGAGATCATAGTTATTTTATCTATTAAAACAAAGCATTTCATCCCCCTTTAAAAATAATAAATAAATAATAATAACAATCACATGCCAGTGCCACTAACAGGACAATGGTGAGCAACTACCGAGCCTACAGGTATGTAGAGATCTAAGTTAGCTAAAAGGATAAAGCCAAATCTTATTTCATGATAAGAATAATTTATATCATGATATAGTCATTTATTTTATCTTATACCCAGTGAGTGTCATCTGAACTCATCACAGTTCAACAGAGGTCAACCTCTGCACTTCAGATGCAAATGATCGCACACAAAAGAAGTTACAATTCAATTTGCTTTAATGCAAGCCATTAATGCTGTTCTCTCTCAGACCGTGCAGCATGTTTAGATACTAGTGCTGTCAAATATCGATTTTATATTTTATATTGATTCTGAATATTTGAAGCCGTTTCAATACTCATTTTCCTGAGTATCGATATACGATTACCAGCTGTGTCTCTCGCGGACAGCGCAGACTGTTTTATTGAAGTATATACTCCACTGAGCTTTCAGAATGATTCACATGCACATCATTTTCAACATGGACGTGGACAGATGATTACATTACAATAAAAATAACATTACTTCTATTATTATTTCATCCCAATTAGAGCTCTGAGGAATCTCCAACAGGGTTTCAGTTGATAAGAAAATACTTTATGTTCAAAAGTGTATTACATTAGATACTGATCAAATCAACCATAACACTGTGGCAATTTTTTTATGTTATCGAATATTGATAATTTTCAAGGTACTGCATTGAGGTTAGAAATGCCAGTCTCCTGTTAACACTAACAGATTTTATAGTCTAGTTCTTAAAAGACAAGACTGGCTATAGAGTGCAACAGTTCCTGCATTTTCAGCAGTGCTAGTTTAGGAAGTTTTTTTCTCCTCATTTATTTAACCCATGAGGAATAAAAAAAAAACTGCTTTAAGTTATAGGTTATAGGCTATGATCCAAATCACCCAGCACCAGGCAATGAAGAAAAAAAAAAGTATTTTAAAATAAAATATCATACATATCAACATACAGTTTTATTCTAAACAGAGTACTTTTATTATATATTCATAAAAATTGCACATGTCCTTTGGAAGCTAAGCACTTAAAATCTGATGTTCATAGAAAAGAAACATGGCAGAGGGAGAGAAGCAGCCGGTGCTTCAGAATGTATCAAACGTCATTAAAAAGCAGATATTTGAGCACATTTTTACCCAGTGAGTGTCATCTGAACTCATCACAGTTCAACAGAGGTCAACCTCTGCACTTCAGATGCAAATGATCGCACACAAAAGAAGTTACAATTCAATTTGCTTTAATGCAAGCCATTAATGCTGTTCTCTCAGACCGTGCAGCATGTTTAGATATTAGTGCTGTTAAATATCGATTTTATATTGATTCAGAATATTTGAAGCCGTTTCAATACTCATTTTCCTGAGTATCGATATACGATTACCAGCTGTGTTTCTCGCGGTCTCATTTCTGTGACAGCGCAGACTGTTTTATTGAAGAATATACTCCACTGAGCTTTCAGAATGATTCACATGCACATCATTTTCAACATGGACGTGGACAGATGATTACATTTCAATAAAAATAACATACTTCTATTTCATCCCAATTAGAGCTCTGAGGAATCTCCAACAGGGTTTCAGTTGATAAGAAAATACTTTATGTTCAAAAGTGTCATTCGCATTTTTTATTAACAAGACCAAAAAAAAAAAAATTATTATATTGAAGGTCAAGACGATTGTTTTATAATCATTTCATTAACCACTGAATCGTAATCGAATCTTGAGGCAAATGAAGATTCACACCACAAACATTTATGAAGCTTGAGAGCAGATGCAGACTGACTTTATGTAATTTGCAGTGCTTCATGGAAGTGGGCGGTGCTAAAGAGTTCTTCTGGTGTGATTTGCTTAATTCGATTCCCTTATTGGAGATTTCTTTGTAGAATTATGGGTAATGCAGCTTTCACCAGGAATTCCACTGTTAAACACACTTATTAAAAAATATTGAAATAATGCTGGCAAACGGTTTTACCATGGATTGATTACATGGCACCCTGTAGTCTATATGGCCTAGAACAGGGGTGCCCAAACTCGGTCCTGGAGGGCCGGTGTCCTGAAGAGTTTAGCTCCAACCCCAATTAAACACACCTGAACCAGCTAATCAAGCTCTTACTAGGCATACTAGAAACTTGAATGCAGGTGTGTTGTGGCAAGTTGGAGCTAAACTCTGCAGGACACCGGCCCTCCAGGACCGAGTTTGGGCACCCCTGGCCTAGAAGGTTTTTAAACTACGATACCTAAAAATACCTCGACTGTGATGACCTGGCTGATTGTATAGGCAAACCACACACTAGTTTAAGAAAGAATGCTATCTAGGTAGGCAAGATCTGTATATATTCACAGGGAAAGAGACAATCAATCATATTTAAGGTGGTGGGAACAGCAGGAAATGTGACTTACAATAGTTTGGTCTTGATTTTGACAATCTTCTGGTTGAACTGCTGAGCCTGTTTGATCAGCCCCAGAGACTCCAGCGTTTCTGGATCTAATCTCTCCTTCAGCATACCATCAGGAACACAGATCTGAAAACGACAGACAACAATGCCTTTAATTAGACACTCTTCACTAACACTGCTGTGGAAGCTCTATCAGGAGGATAAGACCAGTATTAAATTAATCAAAACGCTGGAATAATATCTCTGCATCCATCAGCGTAGCACTGCCCACATCCAACCTCAATGGCCTTCAGCTACACTTACATAAGACACTAATAACACTGAATAACAAGCGTGTATTTGCATACTAATCAGGCGTACAGTGGTTTAGATGAAAAGAAGAGAGCAGGAGCACTGCAGATCTTGATGAGTCACCTCGACTGCCATTACAAACGCGTCGTGTTCTGCCACAACAAAGATGCGAAGCGTGCTCCGGTTTGAGGCCTAGCTCAAAAACCCACAGCCGCCGTGAAAGTGTCTCGTTTTGTTCCAGCACAGCGCTGGAGGTTCGTTCAGGGGAGGAGAGCGGCCCTTTGTGGCTACAATTAAATTTTTCACTGGAGGACAGAATTTGGGCCACTCAATACTCTAATGCAGCTAATCTTCAGAGTCAGGGGATCGGCCACCCACTTACGTATGCGCGCAAAAAAAAGCATTTCGTCAACTGCAGTGAAGAGACGGGCGACGCGTCTCGAAGCGCATTACTGCCACACAGTGGCCATGAACGCACTCACACGCTGCTCTACTCACCAAACAGGCTCCAACCAGCTGGGTAAAATGATCTCGCTTGTGTTTCTCCTCCAAACAGCCAGTCTCGATATCTGCAAAATCAACAATTACACATGCGGCTCACGTCAATGCATATGAAGTCAGACATACATAACGTATAAATCAATTCTTGATGTGTTACGTGCATCTACTGCCATTTTAATTCATGGCTACAGCAATTATTTGAAAGTGCACACTGTTCTTTTAGACGGCCTGTTAAATAAGCTTTGTAACGAGAAATGAATCCAATTGATCTTCGTCAGGGTAGATGCCTTATTCAATTTTACATAGATGTCATTGAGGATGTGAGGGATAGTCTTAGTCATTACAACGGCATGCAAATGCACAAATGTTTTAGATTGCATGCCATTTTCAAAGTTCACAAATTGTTTTTGGAGTTTTTGTCTACTGGGGGTTTTTTGTAAAGATGTTTCATCCGCTGAACAACTGCCATGTTGTTAAACTTCTAGTATTCATGACACTGGAATTTCTAACTTCTATACAATAAAGGCCTATTCACAATGCACACACAGACAAACGCCATCAAACAAGTCGGGTATAGCTGGATTTAGAGGTTTATGAATAAAAACTCATGTTCACACTGAACCAACGGACACTGACTGAACAAGTTCAGTTGGGTGAAAACAAACTGGTAACACACTGATCCAACGAAACCCAACAAACGTGTTTGTTGGCATTTGTCTGTGCAGGGTTTATAAGGGCAACAAAAAATGTGTACTCCTTAGGCCCATTAGCTCTTTTATATAATAATACATTTTATAATATAATAATAGAAGTATTACTATTAAGAAAGAAATACATTATTATAATACAACTGCACTTTAAACTAAATGCAAAGAAGAGACAGTGAGAAAGCACAGAGAAAAATGAGCATTATATAATGGTTTCAAATAATCAGAATAATTGTATTTGAAAAATCTATATTGTTAACATCACTATTGATGATCATGCTGTATTTTAACCTTTTTTTTTTTTTTAAACAGGCCAGTAAAATCAATTTCACACTAGCTGGTGGTTAGCTGTAAGTTGATATTATCATTGCAAAGGATATTTTAGTAGTAATGACTATATGTCAGCGAATGGGTGCCGTCAGAATGACAGTCCAAACCACGAATGAAAACATCAAAACTGTGTGTTTGCAAGAAAAACATTTTTAACATAATTTGGAATTGCCGTTTATATTAGAAATTTCAATAGTTAGGCTTTTGAAAGTTGTTTTCATAATGCAAAGAGTTTGTAAAAAATAAGAATTGTAAAAAGCAATTTCTAAAACGACGATGATTTGAGCAAAATAATCATGATTATCGCTATTAATCGTGATGTGCAGCCCCATTTCATCGGGTCCTCAAATTGCTGGCACAAATCATTTATCGGTAACAAACTCGCATGTGTTTTCTGTCGGTTTCAAGCGCTGTAGTAGCTCCATGCAACATTAAATGAACATTTAGATCAATCACACTGGGCCTGACAAATGAACAGCAGGGAATTTGATGAGAGCTTCATTAGAATAAGTTCAGTAAGACTCTTCAGCTCCTTCAAATTCAGCAGCTGAATTATGCAAACATCTACGTGGACACACGACTGCAGTGTAATAAGCATGTTCACTCATGCACGTAACAAAGCCGTCTTCCATACGAACGCATCCTGGCTCGACTTCACCAGGGCAAATGAGATGACACTGTCTGGCACACTTCCCTTCATCAGCATCAGCATGCATAAACTTACGGCAGGGCTTACCTAATATACAGAAAACATCCGCTAAAATAGAAGGCATGTCGTCCCGCAGCTCCTGAAAGACAAACACAATTGCTTTTAATGGCACATTGCACAAATTTCTACAGCCTTTCAATTTCACAGAATTTCAACGTCTCTTTTTCCCGGTGGAGACTCCGGTTCACTGGAGGACGGTGGACAGACAGCACACTAGATGTAGATGTGAAGTGGGTGATCTATCACTGGTACACTTCAGCTGTGTTTAGAAAGCTAGTTTCATCTGGCTGGATGAGATGTCCCAGCGGCAGCAGCCAAGCAATCTGTGGAGCGATTCTGTGTCCACGCGGCACAGATCAAACGTCGCTACTGCTGTCAAAGAACGCGTGTAACGTCTGATTTGAGAAGTTTCAAGAAAACCTAATTGAGATACACACGGGATAGCAGACGTCACATCTCAGCAGGACAGACTTTCTGAGGGTGCCGAGATGGAAGAGTCCTAGCAGAACTTCACAAGGTGTTTGCACGGTAATGTGCCATTACCATTTATGTGTCAGGCGCTGGTACTTCTGTACCATTTATTCAGCATTCAGAACCACTCATGTTACATTAGACTAAAGAGCAAAAACTAAATCGGTCAGCCTCGGCAAAACTCTTACTAAATTTGAGTAAATAATCTGACTTGCACAAACACTTCTGGAACGGGAATAGCACAGATTCATTTCACTTTATATTAGGGAGCACAATTCAGCATTAGCATGCACATTAACAGCATTCTGGCTGTTTATTAAAGCACATATGTGACCCTGGAGCACAAAAGCAGTCATAAGTAGCACAGGTATATTTTCTTTTATGCCAAAAATCATTAGGATATTAAGTAAAGATTATGTTCCATTAAGATATTTTGTAAATTCCCTACCGTTAATATATTTATTGTATATATACATTGCTAAGAACTTCATTTGGACAACTTTAAAGATGATTTTCTCAATATTTAGATTTTTTTGCACCCTCAGATTCCAGATTTTCAAATAGTTGTGTCTCAGCCAAATATAGTCCTATCCTAACAAACCATACACCAATGGAAAGCTTAGATGATGTATACATCTCAATTTAGAAAAATGTACCCTTATGACTGGTTTTGTGCTCCAGGGTCACATTTGTATCAACTATTAAGACGAGTAAACCATGCATGTCAGTAGGGTTGGATATCGTTAGAAATTTTCCGGTTCCGATTAGTGCTGTGCGATTAATCGAAATCGCTTTATAGCACGATTTCCCGCACCCCCATCCTCCCGCAGTATGCTATCCGAATCAATCAGAATGCAGCGCGCCTAAATGGAGCACGAGAACAGAACGGACCGGGCGGGGATAAACAAACGTAACGCCAGGTTCACACACTCGGTCTGTGGTGCGTATTTTGTCCGCAGCCATGTTAACTGATCAGAGCGTTCACACTGCACGCGATTGCGGTCCGGCAGTGCGCTCCAGGAGCGGTGCGTCTGCAGCGGTGCAGCGATCGTTTCCGCATGGAGTCTATTACTGCTGTGCTGCACGCGCTGAATTAAAGTGACAGCACATTATTCACGATAAAAATTAACATGGATTGACACGGAAATTTAGTAATTACACCATAAATGCATATAATTAAAGTCTACTGTTTCACAGTCAACACATGGCTTTTCGGCTAGATTTAAAACAAGGAAAAGTGCACTTTTAGATAAACAAGGCAGTAATAGACAGCACTCGTGGTGGTAGCTAAACAAAGTGAATATGTCTATGAAAGATTGTATTACTGTACTGTGATAAAAGAGAATCACAATGCTGAAAAAGCATTTTCAGAAACAACGCTTGGATTTGAAATCAAAATAATGGATAAATGTTGTGTTTGTGGTAAACAGCCGCGGACTGCAAACGTGTCCGGTGCGAAAGCACAATGAGTCCGTGCTGCTTCTGCACCGCATACACATACTGTATACGCACTGCAGACGGAGTACGTGTGAACTTGACGCAACAAATCTAGTTCAACATCTGAGGCAACGCCACAAAGAGCTCTATGACCAATGCATTCCTGCCATATGTCTATTCTAGAGACATTGTGTTACACCTTTACTTAGTGATTATTTTGCCTCATGTCTGTTCTAGAGACATGTTACAGCTTCTTGATAAAGCTCTAATCGGTTTTCTTCTGGAAATATGTCTCAAATTCACACTGAATGCATTAATGACTGTAAAGCATGTCTGTGTGTGTCAAAATCCAACTTTAAAGATGATTTTCTCAATATTTAGATTTTTTTGCACCCTCAGATTCCAGATTTTCAAATAGTTGTGTCTCAGCCAAATATAGTCCTATCCTAACAAACCATACATCAATGGAAAGCTTATTCATTCAGCGTTCAGATGATGTATACATCTCAATTTAGAAAAATGTACCCTTATGACTGGTTTTGTGCTCCAGGGTCACATTTGTATCAACTATTAAGACGAGTAAACCATGCATGTCAGTAGGGTTGGATATCGTTAGAAATTTTCCGGTTCCGATTAGTGCTGTGCGATTAATCGAAATCGCTTTATAGCACGATTTCCCGCACCCCCATCCTCCCGCAGCATGCTATCCGAATCAATCAGAATGCAGCGCGCCTAAATGGAGCACGAGAACAGAACGGACCGGGCGGGGATAAACAAACGTAACGCCAGGTTCACACACTCGGTCTGTGGTGCGTATTTTGTCCGCGCCCATGTTAACTGATCAGAGCGTTCACACTGCACGCGATTGCGGTCCGGCAGTGCGCTCTAGGAGCGGTGCGTCTGCAGCGGTGCAGCGATCGTTTCCGCATGGAGTCTATTACTGCTGTGCTGCACGCGCTGAATTAAAGTGACAGCACATTATTCACGATAAAAATTAACATGGATTGACACGGAAATTTAGTAATTACACCATAAATGCATATAATTAAAGTCTACTGTTTCACAGTCAACACATGGCTTTTCGGCTAGATTTAAAACAAGGAAAAGTGCACTTTTAGATAAACAAGGCAGTAATAGACAGCACTCGTGGTGGTAGCTAAACAAAGTGAATATGTCTATGAAAGATTGTATTACTGTACTGTGATAAAAGAGAATCACAATGCTGAAAAAGCATTTTCAGAAACAACGCTTGGATTTGAAATCAAAATAATGGATAAATGTTGTGTTTGTGGTAAACAGCCGCGGACTGCAAACGTGTCCGGTGCGAAAGCACAATGAGTCCGTGCTGCTTCTGCACCGCATACACATACTGTATACACACTTTTTTTTTCTCTGCCATATGTCTATTCTAGAGACATTGTGTTACACCTTTACTTAGTGATTATTTTGCCTCATGTCTGTTCTAGAGACATGTTACAGCTTCTTGATAAAGCTCTAATCGGTTTTCTTCTGGAAATATGTCTCAAATTCACACTGAATGCATTAATGACTGTAAAGCATGGCTGTGTGTGT